AAAAGCCCAAGGGAGAGACCTTCGAGATTGAGCTTTCTAAGGACCTGTTCGGGTTCAGATTCAAGGGAAGTCTGGGAGCTTTAGAAAATTGCTAAGTTTTTCTATTCCATGGCCCATCCTCCCGTCACAGTAAGAAGACCATTATATTCTGGTCTTGACCCATGAACTATAATCCTCTCAACTTGCGTTTTTATAGGATTTCAAAGATCTAGTGTTGTAATTGCATCGAACTTTTTTTTTTTATACCGCTTTGCGAAATACCAATCACCGTCATATCTCGTTGAGGCACCGATAAGAGTTCATCTTCTAACCTCTAGGACTTTCCATGAATTGCGTTTGCAATGAGCTAATTATTTCATGCATCGTTATGTACTTTTGCATCTTTTGATGTTGATGCAATAACTCAACGTAAAAATTGTCAGCTTTATCTTTCCTCCTTTGAGATCATTTAAACTCCATAGTGATGATATCTAAATTTTCCTAGACGGATTAAGATAGAAAATTCAAGATCCCAAATCGCGGCGAGTATTGTTTCTTGAAAAAAAAATCAGCTAAGCTAAGCGTCCTTATTATGTCAATTGCTTGTAGAAACGAAGAGTATTGTATTTCTTTAGTAATTAGGCATCATTTTAAACTGAGAGTTCACGTTTTGGGTTGACTTTAACTTCTAGATCAAAAGTGACCAAAAAAACGTAAAAAAGATATCGCGTATATGTTTCCATTTAGCATAGGCGTGTAGAATGCATTTCGGTTTCGAATTTTCATAAAAATGGTTTGACTTTTTGGCCAAATCCTTTGGTGGATAGATTAGAATTTCATTAGTCTTTAATTTTTTTTGTCAAATATTTGATTAAGAGACTGTAAAATTTAGACACCCGGTAAAAGAAATTCCAACCCATGGAGGGATCAACCATTTAGAGCAACACATACTTGGCACGGTAGAATTTGGGTTTACTTTTAATCTCACACCCCTCAAGATCGCGCCACTTGGCGCGACAACATAAAACCCTGAAAGGTAAAATAGGCAAAAAACAAAGGGTTAATACCACCGAAAACCCCAAACTGGTACACATGTGACAATTTTACTCCGAACATACCCCAAAAAACCCCAAACTGGTACACTTGTGACAATTTTACCTTGATCATACCACAAAAAACCCCAAACTAGTATACATGTGACAATTTTACCCTGAACTAAAATTTTAATATTGTTTTTTTGTTTTTTTTTTTTCATCTTCAACCTCTGGCCGGTCGCCGGACCAGCAACCGGCCAAAGGCGGAAGCCGGCGAGGTCGGCCTTGTCGGCTGCTGGCGAGGGCCGCCCTCGCCGGCGTCGAGCGAGGGCTGCCCTCGCCTGAGTCGGGCGAGGGCTGCCCTCGCCTGAGTCGGGCGAGGGCTGCCCTCGCCGGATCTGGCGAGGGCGACCCTCACCTGCGTCGGGCGAGGGTTGCCCTTGCCGGCGTCGGGCGAGGCCAGCCCTCGCCTGGGCGGGCGAGGACAGCCCTCGCTCGATGCCGGCATCGGGCGGCCCTCGCCGGCATCGGGCGGCCCTCGCCGGCATCGGGCGAGAGTTGTCCTCCCCTGCCTAGGCGAGGGCGACCGGCCAAAAGTTGAAGATAAAGAAAAAAAAAGAAAAGAAAAAATAAAAAAGTTCGAAAAAATAAAAAATAAAATTAAAAAAGTATTAGTTCGGGATAAAATTGTCACAGGTGTACTAGTTTGAGGTTTTTTGTGGTCAAAAAAATAATTTAGGGTAAATTTGTCACGGGTTTATCAGTTTTGAGTAAAATTGTCACGGGTGTACTAGTTTGGGGTTTTTGGTGGTAAAAAAAAAAGTTTGGGGTAAAATTATCACAGGTGTATCAGTTTGGGGTTTTTTATGGTAAAAAAAAAAGTTCGGGGGAAAATTGTCACGCACGTACTAGTTTAGGGTTTTTGGTAGTATTAACCCAAAAACAAAACCCTCACCTTTTTTTTTTTTAACTCATCTCTTCCGGGGGTGAAAATATCAAGCGGCACCAAGGTAAGAAAAGTAAAGGTCCCTCCTTTACGGCAGAGGGAGTGTTATTTTTTTGGGGACGTTCATGGAGGAGGAGCAGAAGCACGTCACAGAGAAGAGAAGAGAGGTCTCCAGGAGTGTCTTCCCGTCGCCGGAATCACCACATTCTCCCCCTTCTGTCGAGGTACGAACCTCCTTGCTCTGTTTTAGTTTGAGAAACATTGGAAAGTCTTGAGTAAAAAAGCGCTCGAACGAGGATCAAACGATGGCTAAGAACCTGTCAACAATGGAGGATGTGTGTGTGGATGTTGTCGTGAGTATATGGACTGAAATGGGTGCTTCGCTGATGCTTCTGTGCAGTGTGTTCTGAACTGGCCACCCGGTGTTTGTACAAATGCCTGAATGCGAAACTGCGCTCGCGTTTTGAAAAATGTCTTTTCGAATCAACACGCTCTGTTTTTCCGCTGCGCTTTCGAATCGTCATGTGCACCCTCGTTGCGGTGGTCAATGGCTGTTTAAGGAGAACGAATGGATTCGGATTTCTGGATTTGGGTGGCGTTGATCCTTTGGGGTGTTCGCATCGGTTTGCTTCTGTCTGTTTCCGTTACTGGTGCGCTGTGAATGTTTGGAATGTTGGTTGTAACCGGTGATTCGAGGTGGTGGCCGACGGTGGTGTAGCCCGCTGACTTGAGGCAAACGGCGGCGGTGATTATAGTGATGAATATGTGTGGATTAATGGTGGAGTATACAAAATTCATACTTTAATGTTGGTTTCTGGGCATCTGGGGAAGACCATAAAAAATGATGAAAAAGAAGAAGGAGGAGGATGATATTATGATGATGAAAAATGGACTCAGTATTGGTTACATCAGAAAATGGTTTAGAGTGGTTGTAGTGTACTGGACTTTAGTTCAATTGGGCTTATTTAGGCTTGGTGAACTTTGGGCTTGAATAGGTTTAGTGAATTTGGGTTTTATTTGGTTTGATGAGTCTGGGATTGCTTTAGCTCTAGGGGATTCAGACTTGCTTGGTCTAGGTTAGTTTGGGCCAGATTTGTTTTAGATGAAGTTGGTCTTAATTCGATTTAATTAGATTGGGTTTCATTTAGCTTTGTTTTGAATAGGCTTGTGATAAGAGCCCAACCTGGGTCCAGACCCATATGGCGTTTGTGTGACCCATATTCGGACTGGCCTCAGCAGCCCAGCCCGTGTCCGGTTTCTGAAATATAAAAAAAAAATAAAAAATATTTTTTTATTATTAGCACTAGATGTAGTTTAGTTTTATTTAGTTAGCATAACCTTTAGTTTAGGGGTTTTAGTGGTGACCTTTGATATAGCTTAGGTTTAGATAAATTGATCTTTTAGAAAAGAAATTAAACTCAGCTTGAAGTTAGCTCATGGGAGTTGCTGTCTTGGGGTTTAATAACGAGGCCATGTGTATCATTTGCTTGAAACGCAATTGGGTTTACTGTCTTGCACTTTACTTTTATTGTATTGTTTGTGATTGTCTACTTTTCCTTGATTGCGCACTCATGCATGGACATCATTTAGTGGCTTGGGTTAATAAAATGGTCAAAGATTGCCTGAATCATTTAGATAGCAAATCAATCAAGTTAGGGTACCGAAAGGGCACTAGTTAGACAATTAGTATAATCAAGTCTCCGACCCTACATCTCTGGTTGCAAAGGAAGTGAAGTATGCTTTGCTTTGCTCTCGTACTTCACTTGGTTTCTAGCCGACCTTTGATAGGCTAGTGGCAGCTCCTGGTTAAGTTGAATTTCATAGATAAATTTATTCCTGAGGTATGGTTTAGGAGAACTCACGCCGATTGAGGACCCTTGGTCCCCAACTCGATATTGCCTTTAAAACTGTCATTCCCCAACATGCACGTCGGGAGGGTTGTGACACATAGGAACAATAAGCAATTTTAGCTTGAATGGTTTGTAGAGGAACCTTACCTTCTCTAATCCATTCAACACGTGCAATTTCTTTTCCGTCGACATGACCTGCAACGTGCATTTAAATCCCTTTTTGTGTCTATATGTTCCGTTAATTCAATTCCCTTTTTTCCATCACTTTTGAAATGAGACTATTCTTGAATTGTCCGGCTATGGATGCTGCAAGAATATCAAGGTGTCCACAAGTGTTTGTGATTCTTGTAATCGGAATATGGAGTTTTTGATTCACACAAACAAGTTCTTTTTGTACATCTATGTGTAATTCCTCGATACTTCGCATCTTGCCTTCTATTAATAACTTGGGAAAATCCCATATAGATTATTACTTGAATCTGGTCTATTCTTTTTCGAAAAACTATGTGTGCAAGTCCATCCAAACCAGATTATATTGTGATATTTATTTGTATATAACTCTTGATACAGTATCTATGTTTTCATTGTATCCTAGACTAGCATTGTATGATGAAAGAAACAAAGCTTGTACAGTTTCTCCGGTGTTGTTGTGTGGACAAATCAAACGAGTTCATGAGTAACTTTGGACTATAAGACTAAGAATTTTTGGTTGGGGTAAAGAACAAAAGCACCGTTGTACTAATGAGCCATCGATTTTTGTTCGTGTACTTGGCCAGTTTCTCATGAATTTCCCTTTCGAGGCATACAAGTCAATGCAACAACATTGCTTGGAGGGTTTGTCTTGTCCATTTTGATTTTAACATTTTGCCAATTTAATGCTAATCGTACTATAAATGTTGGCACCTATCGTCATGTCTTTCAACATGGTAAGAACTTTGTGCGCCTTCGGGACATTCTGCTGATAAGGGAAAGTTTGGTAGTTCTTTCACAATGTGAGTGTTTTGATTCAAAGGGCAGCTTCTCGTTCTCTCTTTCTTCGTTAAAATCAAGTCTCCATTAGTTATATGTATTTTCTTCCTGTGAAAATGTAGTTTTCTTTTATTGGTCGAGTTGTGAAAATCTAGTTGAACCACTGTGGAACTTCATCTTTCTGATTCTGTTGTTCATACCTTGTGGCCCAAAACCAGAACTCGTTGGAGAGCTCGACCCGCAAACGTATTAGAATTCAAACACTTTCCAAATCGAGAATGTCGCAGGAGTACGAGCCAAGATCCACTTTGGCGCAGGTTTGTGAAGAGACCAAACCCTTTCCTCAAATGTTTTTAAAATCGGACTGATCAAAGAAACTGTCCCGCATTACGGTGAAGGTTGAATTAGTTCACATACATCATGCAGTACCTACAGTCTAAACTAATACTATTCTCATTCCAATATGATTGATAATTATATCACCCCTGCTAATGAATGATGGAATTTTGTAATTGTTCAGTTCAGTGATTTGGACTTTGACACTTAGACTTCCGCGCCTACTAATTATGCAAGTGTTGCTTCTTCTTACTGTTGAGGAAATGCCAAGTCCCAGGCTCATGAAACTTGTCATAAAATACATTGCATGACTATTGTTAATGTGTGAATTCTACTTACAAAAGTTTTGAACATTGTAGTCTTCAGAGAACATAATGAGAGGCGAGATTTCTCCTCGTCCGTCCATGAGCACCGTCTCCTTCGAAGCATGTTTCCCTGCACCGGTGCTTTCTGTGGAAACATATCAAGCATGCTTCTGTGCACCGGAGGTTTCCATAGACAAACAGTTCCCACACGGTATCTGAAAAATATGAAGCGTTGTCCTGGTCACTTAGTCCTCTGTCCTCCTCTCCTGCTGATCTTCAATTGTATATAATTGACAGGGTGCATTGCATTGCTTGATGCGGTACTGAGAGGCAACTGGAAAGCAGGAAAGGAATTCCTATATGGCAATCCATCAGCTGTACGTGCCAGGATCACGAGAAATATGGAGACCGCTCTCCATATTGCGGTAGGCGAGGGACACAGGGAATTTGTTGAGGAACTGGTGAAGATGATGTTGCCCGAGGACTTGGAATTGCAGAACAAGGATGGGGACACTGCTCTCTACTTTGCCGCTGCATCCGGAGATAGAGAGATAGCCAAGGCGCTGGTCGATAAGAATCCTCGGCTTCCGCTGATTCGGGGCAACAATGAGGCAACGCCCTTGTACATTGCAGCCCTGTTAGGGAAACAAGACATGGTGCGGTATCTGTTGTCAGTCACAGATGACAGATATCTAACTGACTTGGATCGCATTGACATCCTTGGTGCCACCATCAGTTCCAATTTCTTTGGTTAGTGCATCCACTCTAGTTCTAATGTGAATGTACCATGGATACTACTACTATTGTCAGCTCAAATCCAGACCAACAATATATACATATATATATTTCCCAAAACAAAACTATCTGTTTTCTGTTCTGTTTTCTGCGCATCTCAGAAAGAATCCGTAGCTAGATTATTTCTGGACAAAGTGTTTTCATTATTATTGTTAATTGTCATTCCCTTTTGCCAGATGTGGCTTTGAGACTGATTGGTCAACATCCCAATTTAGCTTTGGCTCGGATGCGAAACGGAGAAACGGCTCTCCATGTGCTAGCGCAGATGCCCTTGGCATTCTCGAGTGGGAGTCAGCTAGCGATCCGGCTGAGGTGCCTCTTTTCATGTAGGTATCACTCTCGTAGCCATTTTCTTTTGGCAATGGTTGTTGAGGTTCTCAGCTTGCTCAGTATGTTGATATTATCTTCATTTCTTGTTTATGGATTCACCTTAAGATGCAGTTGACATCGGTTCTGGAATATTGTGAAGGAAACTTTAACATTTTAAGTTGTAGTTAGTCCAAACTGAAGTTCATCCACAGCTCCTTCACAAGTTGGGCTGACAGAAAATACAGTTACAGGTACGCAGGAGATGCGCGATCTGAAATGGGCGCATATGCCAGCAGTTAAGCTGTTGGAGCTTATATGGAGAGAGGTTTCTTTGCTCGATGATGGAGGTATCGGAGAACTTCTCAGGGAACCATCGCGACTGCTGTTAACTGCTGCAGAATTAGGAAACTACGGCTTCTTAACTGTGCTGATCCGTCTCCATCCTGAACTTTGGAAATTTGATGATCCGAAGCAGAGCATATTTCATGTTGCAGTTGCACATCGTCACGAGAAGATCTTTAGACTAATATATGATATTGGTGCTCACAAAGATATGATTGCAGCTTACAAAGATGAAAATGACAATAACATATTGCATTTGGCTGGAAGGGGTCCTCCAAGTCTACTCAAAATTGACTCCCGGGAAGATCTACTAATGCGGCGAGAGCTATCGATGTTCAAGGTTAGTTAGATCTTAAATTTTTGCATGCTACATAATTTGGATTCTACAGTTTAAAGTTTGCTAGCAGCATTCCTGGGCCATTGCACGACTTTTATCTACATGCTTAATCTCCAAATGTTTTGCAGATTGGGGTCTCACTAGTTTTACTATCACCAACTTGTAGGCATGTCTAGCTTGTCTGAGTTGAAGTTTTCCTTTTATCTTTCATGTTTTTTCTGCGAAATAGCTGTAGTAATATTATATGGACTAAAAGGAAAGAAATGAGAATCATCAGGAATGAACCATGCATGTCGCATCCTGGTCTGTCCAAGAAAGAAGGAGATGTAGAAAATTCCATCCCAATCATGACATGAGTCAATGACTGGCACTGGTAAAACTTAGATAAGTCAATTTAGTGTACCATTTTCAGAATGATAATATCTGTTTAATGGTATAGGAGGTAGAAAAGGTTGTGCAACCTTCTTATCGAGAAATGAAAAATTCCGAGGGAAAAACACCTTATCTTCTTTTCACCGAGGAGCACAAAGAACTCAGACAAGAAGAAGAAAAATGGCTGAAGGACACGGCGTCTACTTGCATGGTTGTTGCGACACTCATTGCAACTGTGATGTTTGCTGCCATCTTTACTGTTCTCGGTGGCAATAATAATGACACGGGGAAGCCTATTTTCCTACATCACAAGTCGTTCATGGTTTTTGCCTTATCAACTGCGTTGGGTATCTTTTCCTCTGCAACTTCAATCTTGATGTTCCTTTCCATCTTGACATCACGCTTTGCGGAGGAAGATTTTCTGCATTCCTTGCCAAACAGGCTGGTGTTAGGACGCGGAAGCCTCTTTGTCTCCTTAGCCACCACGGCAGTGGTCTTTGGGGCCACCCTTTTTATCCGTCATGGTGACGATTATGCTTGAATCACTATTCCAATTGGTGCTTTTGCTTCTGTGACCGTGACCTTTTTTGCTTTGCTCCAATTTCCCTTTTATCTGATATGATCGAACACTTATACATCCACGGTTTGCTTTCTCATCCAGAAGACTGTCCGTTGTTCCGACCATTAACGACCAGCACATGAGACTTGCTGGAAGTTTGCATTGCATCAACACAAACCATTTTGCTAGCTGGAACAGATGATTGAGCTGAACTTTTGTTTGTATTGTGCGTTGAATCTAATGGAGCCTTTTTATATGATTGTATCTTACGCTTTTAACTGCTAGTGAAGTGCAAATTTTTGTCTAGTCAAGCAAATAGCTCAAGTTACAACTTGGTGACCTTTCCAACTTGGAAAGAGAAGTGTTATGTTGAAGGAATGCTTGTGTTGGCGCAATTCTCATCGCTCAGTGTTGTAAGGATTGAATCGCAAAATAGTACGGATTCCTTTTTCTACTATCTCGTGTATTGAGTAATATTACTGCGAAACAAAAAGCATTGACAGCATTTACTACCATAAAACAAACATCAAACACCAAGGTGGGCAAAAGTGAAGAGTTATAACGCCATAGTACTGGCTTTCTGCATAAATATTACAAACATAAATCCTCAAAATCCTTAGATTCTTCCACAATTTCAGTGAAGTAATTTGCTTATGGAGCAGACATTTTGATGGAAAGATGAACATCTCAGTGTAGAAATACTAGCACTAGAGAGCGATCTAAGGGAAGTCTAGGAGCTTCAGAAAATTGCAAGTTTTTCTTTTTCCCGTGGCCCATCCTCCTACAGCGGTAATAAAGACCGTTGTATTCTGGACTTGGGCTATGCACAATAATCCTCTCAACTTGTGCTTTTCTAGGATGTGGAGGATCTACTTTTGTAATTTCAAAGTACGGTTTATTTTAGGCTTTGCAAAGACTCACCATCATATCCAGCTGGGGGATGGATATGAGCTCATCTTCTAACCTCTGGAACTTTGCATCATTCGCGTGTGCAATGAGCCAATGAGATCTGTGAGGGTGTTCCATGCATCGTTCTGTACTTTTGCAGTCTTAATGCGATGCAGGAACTCATTCTCAAAATTTGTCGGCTTTAACTTGTAGTCGGCTAAGTTCGTATATCAGAAATTAAAATCAAACGTTAGGAAAAAACTAACCTGAAAGCAGTACAACCAAATAAGCAGAATGTTGATCCGAGCCCAACGAATTAACGTCGTGTCCTTAAGACGAATTTGGCCCTCAATCGCACTGAGGATATTGGACAATCGTCTCCCAGGATAGAACGGATCTCGTTCCTCCGGCGGTACGTATTCGGAGGACTCCAACGAACGCAATTTTGCGGAACAATCGCACCAAATGACAATGATGAAGTGAATATGCGTAGAGTGCGTCGGGAAAAAATGAATGCCACGAAGTGATATTTATATTCCGAACTAAACTGTTCGGTCTTATTCAAGTGACGAAAAATGAAGAGTCGCGAGTTTTCGTGAATAGTAGCGAAGGTTCGCTTGAACCGGTTCGGTTCATGAACAGTCGCGAGAAGGGCTTCGGTTTTCTGTTCGGGCGAACCGAACCTCACGAACATACATGTTTATTTGTCCAAAAATAAATAAATAAATAAATAAATTCTAAACAACGTGTCTGTTCGAAAAAAATAAAAACCGATAGAGAGTGGACCCGGACGGACGGCGGCGGCGGCGCGCGCGGGAGGTGGACCGACCTAGCTTGACGTAGGTCCTCTCTCTTCCACAAAAGTGGGGTACCCCTTGGGGCCCAAACCCATTTGTGAGGCTCAACTATTTGAACCCATCTCCCATCTCTCTTCTACCCTATGTGGGACACTTTCACCCACACACTTCTCATTCAATTCTATGGGATTTTGGTTCCAAAATCCCAACATAACTTTCCACTTCTCAAAACTCATCGTCATTAGCTTGAGGTGTAGTGTTACTACCGCCAATGATGTCCTCCAGAGTAAGCACAATTGCAACACTCTGCTCCCATTGTTATAGTTGCTGTGGTTGAGCTTTTTGACATCGTTATCCGCCATGGTGACTCGACGACGCCTTATCCTTTTTCAACCAAGTTTGGTCCCTGACCAACCACCTTCACGGTCTTAGACTGTGTATTGATGGATTCTCCTCAATTCGTCCATTTAGACTCAATACCACTTGCAGAGTGCTACGCAGTTTTGACGGTAATATACGAGAAAGGGAAAGCAAAGCAGAGAGCAAGGAGGCTACAAGAGTGAGGAAAAATGTAGCTTTAGAAAGAGGTGATGTGTGGCCAATCCTAACAGAATTCAAAAGTAAGTAATAGGGGAAGAATTCAAATTGGAGCAGTGGCACAACAGTGGAAGAACAGAGGAGGAGAATTGGGAGAGTAGAAGATATGTGACTTGATCTCTCGGGATGATCTCGTGCGCGATGCTGGGCTCTCACACATGAACCCACTTCCAAATCTCAAGTGAATTCAAGCAAATTTCATCTGATCTGCATTCGATCCAACTGTCATCAACAGCACATTCCTAACTACCAGTAGAAAACTAGCAACCTGACAGATACTTCCCTTCTGGAGCTTTGGATTTTGAGTTTATCAGTTTGTGGTGATGACATTGTTTGGTCTTGTGAGGCTCTGAAATCAATCTGGATAGCGACGGCAGATGGTTTCAGCACGAGCGGAGAGAGACAGAGACAGCAAGCGCTCGGCGTTTCTTGAGCTGACTTCTTCTCCTTCTTGAGAGATGAATATTTGGAAAGAACACAAGTTAGGAGAGGACTATGATGTTTTCTGGGTCATGGTTTTGTAGGAATGAAGGATGTCTCTTGGCTAACGATAGATTCTCCTGTTTTGTTTTGGCATGAGGAACAAAAATGGAGAAAAGGAGACAATCAATGAGGCATGAAGAAGAGAGAATGGCATTGACTGCATTTGCCACTGAACTTTCAGAGTCATCAACCTCTGTGGTTTCCTTTGCCATAGTCTACTCCCCATGATTTTGCACTTGATAAACTTTTCAAACAAATTCTCGACCAAAATTTTTTTTTTCAAACAATTAGTAAATCTCATTGAAGTGTTACAAATTAGTTAACTACTCAAAGTGGTGAATAACTTCTCTACATGGAAAGTAACTTTTCACATAATGTAAGTTAGTGATATATTAACTATTTTATCACTGAAGTTAGTAACTTTTTATATTCAAAACAAATTTGTCTATTTCAATTCGTATCGATTTCCCAATGTCGTTAGAAATATATTAACTAGATGAATAAGAAAAATTCGAAGAATGACTAGTGAGTAATGATATCGATATCCGATCATTGAGTTCGTTGGTCATCGGACAGTGATTTTCTAATTATACAATTTGAATTCAGCTACGTCACTAATTGATGTAAATAAATCAACTCCAAGCCAAAAAAAGGAAAAAAAATAACATTCAAAAAAAGATCAAAATGCCATATTTTATTTGCACGAATGAAAGAGACAAAAAGGCTCACAATCTACCTTCCCATAATTCCCAATGAATGTCCTTCCAAACGTATATAATGACACACAACGCCAACGACACTCCATCTCCTTCTTCTTCTTCCTCGTCGTCTGCGTCCTCGTATGGTGGTGGTGTCTGTCCGTCCGTCCGTCCGTCTCTGCAATTCAGCTGCTGAGCCGATGAGCGAGCGATCCGCGAAATCAAGAAAACCCAGACCCGCTTCGCCTCCCGCCAATGCGATCTTCCCTCCCCAACCATCCTCCCTCTTGATCCCCATGGCCCGCAAGTCGTCCCTCCTCAAGCAAGCCCTGATCTTCGTCCTCCTCCTCCTCGCCCTCTACGCCTTCTTCACCTCCTTCCTCAACAACCCAGATCCCAAAACCGACCCCTCCTTCCGAAGTCACCGCCTTTCCGGGGAAAACCCATCGGATTCGACCGGAAAGTCGCCGCCTTTACCTGCCAAGGTCTTCTTGTACGAGCTCCCGGAGAGGTTCACCTATGGGGTCATCCGGGAGCACTCGGCCGCGCGCGGCGGTGCCCCCGCCGCCGACGTGTCGGCCCTCAAGTACCCGGGTCACCAGCACATGGCGGAGTGGTACCTCTTCGCGGACCTGAGGCGGCCCGAGCAGGAGAGGGCTCGGGCCAGCTCGCCGATCGCCCGGGTGACTGATCCCGAGGAGGCCGATCTCTTCTACCTGCCCGTGTTCTCCTCGTTGAGCTTGATTGTGAATCAGGGCAGGCCCCCGGGGACGGATCCGGTGTACAGCGACGAGGAGATGCAGGAGGAGCTGGTGAAGTGGTTGGAGGGTCAGGCGTATTGGAAGAGGAACAATGGGCGGGATCACGTTATCATTGCTCAGGACCCGAATGCGCTGTACCGAGTTGTGGATCGCATTAAGAATGCGATTCTGTTGGTGTCGGATTTTGGGCGGTTGAAGCCGGACCAGGCCTCACTGGTGAAGGATGTGATATTGCCGTATTCGCATCGGATCAACACTTACAATGGTGATATTGGGATTGAGAAACGCAAGACTTTGTTGTTCTTTATGGGAAACCGTTTCCGGAAAGAGGTAAATTTGAAGTTTTGTCGATCAGTTTCGCAATTGAATGGATTGTTTAGTTGTGAAAATTAGATTGTCCATTCAGGAATTGGAAATCTGCACATTCTCTTTGGGAATTTTACTCAAGTAGAATCTGTCGGTGCTGATGCTGTTGTATGTGTTAGCAAAGCTAGCTAAGTACATGTTAAAGATTTGTTAGCAAATTCGATACAGGGAATTTTAGTATTCAGTTAATTATCAAATGTTGGAGCTATCGGTTGAATGTTAAGTGTTAGTTTAGCTTCTGTATCAGTGAGCATTGCAGTACTTAAATTAATTGGGTCCAATTCGCTGTGAACATCTTGCCAAACCTTCTGCTGTGCGTGTTTTTGTAGTTTTAAACATCTGTGCTCATTTTGCGTCTCTCATGTTTGAATGCTGCAATGTCTTAAATCACTGTAAGGTTGCACCACTCTCCTCTTGACAAGAATTGATTGTCATGTAACACGAATGATGGACAGTTTTTCAAATCTCTGGATTGTTTCAGTCTTTACTTTAGATTTCCAAACAAAATTCATGTGCATCAGGTTTCCTTCTGCCTTCCCTCATTATTGTTCCAATCACTAAATGGAATAAGAGTTGGTTTTTGTCGCAACACTTCCTTAAATATGATTATATAGATAAACACAAAGGCTGCCTTGTTTAATTCTCAGATATTGATTGATCTGATGAATGTTTCTATTCTTAGTTTCACAGATAGGACATTTCTTGAGTCTAGGGTCTAGGCTCTTTCACCTTCACATCGAATTGGCAGTTTTGTGGGATTTACATGTTGAAGGATTCTTTTAGAGAGGCTTCTGATTCCTTCCCAATGGTTAGATCAATTGTTTCTTCTTAAAACCGCTCTGATCAACCTTATCTCTTGTAATAGTTTACCTTCTCACAAGGATCCTAGTTCACGACTGCTGCATAATTTCTTCACAATTCTTGATCCCCTCTAAGAGAAACTTGATGAGAGTTTGAGAGTGCTGCATTCAAAAGAGGTGCTTCAGCTTCCATACAGCGTTGGCAAGCATCTTAGAGCAACTCAAAATACAAGCACCCTATGGCAGCCTTTGGAAAGCTACCATGACTTGCTTTTGGAGCTCGATCTCTGAGACATATTTTGTAGCTCTACAACAATGAACAATCCGTAAACACATGCTACCGAATTCATTTAGGATCCAAGTCTAGAACACGAAGCACATACTTAACCTACAAAACCCTAGCAACATCCACGAAGTCTAGTTAATTTGGTGGTTTTCATCTTATCACTCAGATATTGAGATTCATCCTGATGACAATCAATTTGAATCATTAAAATGAACTCAACCTTTTCCCACTAATTGGGATCAGCTTAGTATGTTCTTTTTATCTTTTAAATCTTTGGACCCTTTGTTGATTTCTTTATGATTTATAGGGAGGAAAAATTCGTGATTTGCTGTTTCAACTACTTGAAGATGAAGAGGATGTCGTAATGAAACATGGTGCACAATCTAGAGAGAGTCGACGTGCAGCATCACAGGGGATGCATACATCCAAGTTCTGCCTCAACCCTGCTGGTGATACCCCATCAGCCTGCCGTCTGTTTGATGCTATAGTTAGCTTGTGTGTACCTGTTATCGTCAGTGACAGCATTGAGTTGCCATTTGAAGATGTCATAGACTATCGGAAAATTGCAATATTTGTAGATACTGCCTCTTCACTGAAGCGAGGGTTTTTGGTGAAACTTCTGAGACAAGTACCGACAGAAAGGATTCTGGAATATCAGAAAGAGATAAAAGAGGTAAGCTCCTCTTGCACAATCTCATAACTTTTCATGATTCTTCTGTTGTAGCTATGCCTAACTTCCTTGACAATGCTATATGGTGAATTTGTTATTTTAATCATTGTTGAACAGGACAGATTATGCCTCATCCTCAGCAGTGACTTTTGGCATCACTTTTGTTAGATTTGGTTATGCTGCTGTATCAATGTGCTTTGTTGCTAATTTCCCTCACTTCAATTTGCATTTAGAAAAATTTAGTGGTGTAGCACATGTTCTATCTATGTGCTGTGGTCGCATTGATGATTGAACTTGTGACAGATCATTAAATGCTTAAAGCTGAGAAAAGTTGGATTACACTGATTTTCTTCCTATTTGTTTCATATTTAACCAGGTGAAGCGATTTTTCGAATATGGTGATCCAAACGGAACAGTCAATGAAATTTGGCGGCAAATTTCGCAGAAGCTACCCCTTATTAAATTGATGATTAACCGTGACAAGAGGATTGTCAAGAGGGACATGAGTGAACCGGACTGTTCCTGTATGTGTACGAACCAGACCGGGGTCATTTCTACTCTATGACGTGAGCACTATTTGTAACTTTGATCTCCGATATGCCTGCTTGGGTGCTGGCCAGTTGGTGTTGGAATTGCTCGTGTTGGATTCAGCAACTATACCATGATCTGTACGACACCCTTCAAGGCTGAGCTTAGAAATATTCATGAGCGTTGGTGCATTTAATTCATCCTCATTTCTTGCTAGAACACCAATTGACACTCCCCCTTTATACCACGCCCTTGGCAGAGGATTTTTCAGGGTTTGATAGGCAGTGTAGGGGGTAGATCATTAAAGATTCTGGTACTTGTGATGATGTAGAAAAGGAAAATTAAGTTATTGATTACTGCCTGTAATTGTTTTCACTTAATATACATTGTACAGAAGATCTGAGAGTATACCTTATTCTTTTTCATATGTTGGATGCTTAAAGTTGACATCTTTCTAGGCTGCTTCTTACAAAAATTAGCTAAGTTCTGTACGTTTTTTCTATTCTTTCAGATGTGTCTACCGTCTAATTTTTCCTTCCTTTGTTTGGAGATCATACATTCCCATGGTTATTATGCTTCACCTAATCATTCGCTAATGATTTGATGGGATTTCAATAGGATTGGCAATGATTAACACGACCTTTTTGCACGAATGAACCCGACAATGAAGTAAAACACGAATTACAGAGAGAAACCCCAAATCTGTCGTGACATGTTAGCTTTATATGTTGACACGATTCGACAGAAATTTACATGTTTTAACCGTAATTAAATTATTTTCCATATAGAATTAAAGTCAAGATGTTTTAGTCCAACTCAAATTGATTATGACACGCTAATATGAATTACCAACCCTAGATTTAAACCCAAAAGAAAGGATTTTGTCTACGTTCTAGTTTTGCGTGGGTTCTCATCTCCTCTCCTTTCCTCTCCATCATAGTTTCAGTAATTCTTTTAGTGGCACAATCAGCTGATGTTTATGCGCCTTCTGTTAAGCTGATACAACTAAAGCTTAACACGAGCCAGATAGTCATATCCACAAAAACGAGGAGATTGTAATACTGTCCATCCTTTCATAGCATCAATAAGCCACATGTTGCTCAGATGGACATAAACATGACAACATTAAGATACGGATCCAGCAACAATTTTTTTGATCAAAGGAAAACCTCGAAAGCATAGTTACATGATGAGTGAGCCAAAAAAGAACAGAATCATCGTGAGAATACATCTCAATAGGTCACAAAATGGTGATGATATATAGGGCGTAGTTCAACTTCAACCAGGAGGCCACTTCATTTGTCTACCACCCAGGACATGTAAGTGAAGATGATAAACAGATTGACCTGGAGAGAGAGAGAGAGAGAGAGAGAGAGAGAGAGAGAGAGAGAGAGAGAGAGGGTTTACATGCTTTCTTAAGTAACTTAAGGTTGCACAGATAATCAACATAAGATGAAAATGTTTTATCCAACAGAAAAGGGAATGACGAAAAACTTACAGGCACTTGGTCCGCTGTTGATGACAACACGAAATCCATCGAGAATGCCTTCTTTTTCAGCCACCACTTTGGCAGCATAGAGAAGATGACCCAGTATCTCAGAATGCTTTTCTTCAGCCTGCAGAGAAGCAATGGAAAATCAAAACCTCACAATCTCCTAAAAAAGAAGAAACAAACTAAACTAAGTAGGATGTATTGTGCAGCTATGACGTAGCAGGTTGCACCATTGGAACGTATTAATTGACCTTTTACATGCATAAATGGGTTATAGAGGACAAAGGAGAAATAAAGCCTCTCAACATGAAATTTGATGATTCTTCGAGGAGAAAATCTCAAACTTAAATCTTTGATGTTCTTGAAGGCACCGTATGAGTGAGTAGACCAATTGTTCACTTCATAAGAAAATCAGAAGGAAAATGTGAGAGATTCTCGTTGAGTCAGGTAACTTCATCAGCTATAAAACTTTCGCTTAGGTTTATGTTAAACTCACAGCCCCACACTACCTAGCAGTATTGAGAGTAATTAAGCCATGATCGAACTGGTTATGTTTCTGTGTCTATTCACCTTCTATAGGATCTATACCAACAGAATCAATCTCAGCAGCAGGCTGCCTCATCTATCCTATGTTGAAAGATCACTAGGCTGGCAACATGAATAAACTGATGCAGATTAACAATATTTATAAGAACCAATGATAAAAGAATGATTAACATTTAGCACAATAATTGAAACATGCGGAGAGACCCGTAGACATGCCTTCGATATGAATCACGATTTATCTCAAGAATAGCCCTACCATCTCAAATGATATAAAGTGTCTTCTAGCATCTCCCTCTCCCTCTCCCTCTCCCTCTCTAGACTGGAACTTTTGGTGATCTTACTATTAGAATGCCTTGAGACAGAATCTACTTCATAACTCTGGGTGAAATCCCAAGATGGCAAAAGTTCCTATTGATGCGATTGCCGGACATCTTATGTTGGATACTGTAAGTCCATGTAAGCTAAGTAAGCACACGTCCCAATATGCACAGATAACATCAGAGATAGCCATAGGTAAACAACAGAACCATAGCTAACCTTTCCGAGTTGCGTAAGGCCATCTCTGAGTTTTGGAATAACAAGAACATGAACCGGAGCCTGAGGACTAACGTCTCGAAAAGCTAGGACTTTTTCATCCTCATACACAATGGTTGACGGAATCTCCTTAGCTATGATCTTGTCGAATCTAAAAAAGAAAGGTAGAGGCAAACTCAGGATCGGCTCCCAAATTAAGCATGAAAAAGTTATCATAAATATCAAAATAAACCAATTTGAATCAGTCAGCACAGAGCACATCATACATGGTCGGAGCTCCTGTGTCAGCAACCGCAGCAGCTGCTTTGGCAGCATCTTCTTCGCTGCTTGTCGCTTTGACGCAAAAAGATCTAGGAATACAGCCCATTTGAGAGGGTCAGCAAGGGTATTTCCATCAGTAGCAAGAAACAAATTTTCCGACACCCGGGACAAGCAAGAGACTACAGTCTACAGCTTAAGCAAAGACAGGATTGCCACGAGATAAAATCCTATCGACCCGCAATGGGAAAAATCGCCTCGGCAAATTGAAATGGAAAAGTAAAACAACATAGATTTCTTGAAGTCTCAGCTGAGGACAGAGCAACATGCTTCTCCAGAAAAGCCCAACAGACACGACAAGATCGTCTTTTTTTTCCTCGTGAGTCCTCTTGCCAGACCGAATTATCATAACAATACGAGAAACAACCCAATTAAAAGAATTTCTAAGGACGATCATGCCTCTACCCCTAACTTTTCAAAAAGCAGCCATCTTTGCCGCTTCCCACACACAGCCAAGAACCAAGAAACAAGGGAAGAAACGGCAGAAATTTCGCGGCACCCAATACCAAGAACGACGAGAGTACCTGCGACGGGGCTGAAACCGAAGCGGAGGAACGAACTTGACGGAAGCGAGAGCTCGTGAGGAGCTCCTGGGAATCGCAAATGCCCTGACGCCGCCAGCTCCACAGCTCCTGAAACGGAAAAAGTTGCAGAGAAACCATCGCATTCAGAAGCAGAGAACAAGAGGAGCTTCCTCATCATTGCAATGGAGATTGAAAAGGGTATAGAGAGAGAGAGAGAGAGTACCGAAGCAGAGCTAAGGAGTAGAGAGCGGCGGCCATTGATGGACTGGTGTGCGAGGCCGTGGAGGTGTTTGTAACTGTAGCGGCTTCACCAGCAATGGCCGATATCGGCGTCGGTTAATTTTTTTAGGCCCCTTGAAGTTTCATCTACTTCTTATTTCTCGCCCCCTGAAGAAAATTTTGTATCACTTTAGTCCCTCAAATTTTAACTAAGGCTCAAATAGGGCGTTTTTTATCATACACAGCTAGTCCCAAACCCATATAAAGACGAGGGAAAGCTCGAGCTTGATTTCTCAGTACCTAGCTCGAACTCAACTTGATGCAGAGGTGCTCGCATCATTTTGCCTCATCGTCAAAATGTTCTAGCGTGACAAGAAAAAAGTATACCATTTACCAAAAACGTGAGTGAGAAGCGTGCATATTTGGGTCGATTTCGAAGTTATCAAATCGTACCAAGTCGAATTCCGATTTCACTCGATAGATCCTTACTTCACTTTCGAATCGTGTTCTCGAACAATGTCAAGAATGATTGCCCAGGACAAGATCACTCTGTCCACAACTTTCACGTGCGCGCACGACACTCCCGCAAGTCCAACATTGCACACGTGAGAAGACCCACGAGTCCTACACAAATTTTGTTTGCCTAATCCTAGTCCTCTCGTCTTTGTATGATATTTTAAGTACAGAGTGTCTTCTTGGTCAGGTTCAGTGCAGTGTTGAATGGCGAGCTTCGTGCTTCAGCTCCCGACGACGACGACGAGCAGATGGAGAAGCTTCTCCGTCTCCGCCTCCGCCTCCTCGAACGGTAAATCTGCGATCATCGCCCTCTCTCGGGCCGCCGTCTGCTTCTGCTGAGATGGATTACAGACTCTTGTGGACGAGTTTTTGATTGGTTTGAGCCCGTGAATTGAACTGGGTCAGTGTGTTTATGCTGAAAGTGTCGATTTTTCTCTTCTGGGTGTGTTGGGATTTTGAAGGGGCTGCTCCGGGTCAGAGTCAAAGCGTTGGCCAAGGGAAAGGCGGGCCGGTGATAGTGGAGCTGCCGCTGGACAAGATCAGGAGGCCACTGATGCGAACGAGGGCGAATGATCCGGTCAAAGTGAAGGACCTCATGGACAGCATCCAAGAGATCGGCCTCCAAGTCCCTGTACGTAATGATCCGACACCGCTCGTTTTCCTTTCTTTTGAGATTTCGTGTTCTTCCGGAGAATCTATGCAGCATAGACTCTGGGGGTGGACAAGATTGATCAGGGTGAAGACATTATGGGAAATTTCATTGATCCAATGTGCGTGTGCGCGTGTCTACTCTGTTTTAGCATATGTGATCCTGGACCAATCGGACCAGTACAGAAGTAATCTGACCGAAGTAGAAGCTCCGATTGACGTGGAGTTTTCATGTGTTTGGAGAACTAGCTGCATTAGCACATCGCCGTGCTGAATTAATCGCCATCGATGTCGCCCCCGGCATGTTTTGTTGTTAAAAGATATTTCGCACCTTCATTTACTACTTTGTGATGTTTCCGCCGAAATTTCATTGCAGATTGATGTGCTCGATGTCGATGGAGTTTACTATGGTGCGTAGCTAATTTCATCATCCTCGCACTTTTGGCATACATGAACTATAAGGGCTGTTGTTTCGGTTGGAAAGATTATTTTGCTCTCTGCATGCATCTTTGCAGGCTTCTCCGGTTGTCATCGCTACGAAGCTCATCAGCGCCTCGGCCTACCAACGATCCGCTGTAAAGTTCGGAAAGCGACGAAAGAAACACTAAGGTTTATTCATGTCATCCTTCATGCTGAGTCACTTCTCTGTTTGCTTCTACTGCATCTCCCTGTCACTCACAGAAGGACCTGTTTATATTTTACCAGGCATCATCTTCGCTGAGTTCGCAATAAAGCCATTTTCTGGGTTGGACAGATGATTTCTCAGCTCAATGAGTGTGGCGTTGCAGTTAATGGATACGAGATACTGCCTTTGTAATGATTGCCTCAAGTCCCTTTGGATGTAATGAGGCTTTTAGCTCTCTTGTATTACAAGCATTTGAATAATAAAGAAACGGGTCTTGATTAAGTTTACCTCAGAAGTTCCCTTTCATCTACCTATAACATTACAATGTTTATATTGTGATCGGTAACAGGAGAACACGATTTGAGAAAACCTACAATTAATACAGAAATGACATGACTGGGAACATTGATATGGAATTGCGCGAATAACCAACACGACACGATGACGCTGCACTCGCAGATAGCCTATTGTGTTCTGTGCTTCATCAACTGAGGATGCACCTTAAAAGAAGAAGGCAATGGACATGCCAATTTCGCTCCCAGGACCTCTCAGAACTAGATCAAGTCTGCAGCATCGACACACTGAAGATTTTTTTTTATCAAAGATAGAATCCTTTTTTTGGTTATTTCTCGAACCGGATCAGTCATTTCATACTCGAAGTATTAAGTTAGTGACAAGCTCGTAATTCATATCGATAGTACTCATTTGCAGCATAAGCTAATGTCTCTCTCTCCAATTAGCAAGACTTTTGGCATGAAGTGAATGGACTCTACCTGCTTAGCCCAAATTGAAATCCAAATTAGACTAATAAATCTCTCAGAATAGATGCGTTAAAGAAACTCAAGAAAAGATGCATTCAGATGTAAATGTCAGGAAAGAAACGAAAAGGCGTCGGACGAAAAACAAGTCATTGCGGAACTTGACATCAGTACACAACTTGGGTCAAGAATTTGCTCAGTGCTTCGCATCCTCCTCTTCACAGAACTTGGAGTACTTGTCAGCATCCATCAGGTTGTTTAGTTCGCCTGCGTCGCTTATTTCAACCTTTATGATCCATCCTTGCTCATATGGGCTCGAGTTAACCTAAAGGTCAGTAAACTCGCATCAGCAAAGAGGTCAAAACAGAATTACTAATGAGAAAGGTCAGAACTTCCATGGAGTGTAAACAGATGTAGAACTCGGAAGACATATAAACAGAGAGAAATTAAATTTAGTTCGACCTTTATGTCCAACTAGCATTCCATCTTATAGAACGAGGGAGTTTCGAAACTCCAGAGTGTCATGAGTAGAGGAAGAGCATTAGAAGACTTACCAAGCCAGGAGAATTGCTGAGTTCTTCATTGACTTCAACAACTTTCCCTGAAACGGGGGAGTTTATATCACTGGTGGCCTTCACACTTTCAACCGCGCCAAAGCCTTCACCTTGGGTCACAGGTGCCCCAACTTCAGGTAATTCGACGTACACGACATCACCCAAATGATCTTGAGCATGATCGGTGATGCCAACTGTCGCAGAACTGCCTTCAACTTTCACCCACTCATGGGAGTCACAATACTTCAGATCTTTCAGAACTGGTGTACAAGGAAAATGGATGAGTGACAGAACTAGGAAGTGAAGAACCACCATAAAGAATCCGGCAAAGATTGTCATTGTTGCCACAAGATGATCAAAACATGAATTGCACTTTCTCTCACATTTGACCTTAAGAATTTTTTTTGGGAAATTGTAAAACAAGCTGGAATAGGGCAGAAAAGAATTCAGTAAATAGGAAGCCATGAAATGTTGGAGTATCAAATTTGTGCGAGCACTCCCAGCATACACATAAATGATGTTAAAAGTTCAGACCAAAAGCATTTATTTGAACTTTGTCAAGGCAGGTGCACGTTAATAGTCTACCAAAAGACAAAAACAGAAATCTACATTCTGCAAGTTGCCAAGTCAATAGTAGTATGAAAAGCCTGCATTCCATTGCAAAAACAACTGGCAAAGAAAGGGCATTTACAAAGAGTAAAAATAACGGTATAGCCTTCCTAGTATGTCAATCAATTGAACTTAAATTACACAAAGCACTATGGTGCTTCTAAAATGAATCGGTTTTTAGAACAACCTCGTGATTTAAAAAAAAAAAAACTAATTTACCTTGATCCACAACTACTATGCAGTCGTGACTAATCTGTGATTCTGTATCTGCTGAAACTGCTCATCAAGTAGGCTACGAGCAGATCATCACCCTTAGGATGATCCTGATCTAAACCAGGGTTATATCCCATATATTGATATCAATTAACGTGTTCGCGCCAACTATCACCTTTTTTTCAATTTTAATGCCCATCGATTGGATTGATTTTGCTATACATAAAACCATAAGCATCTTCTTATGCCAATTATTGTTTGATAACTACCGACCATTGACAATCACCTCCAGGATCCAACATTGCTCATCTTAATTAACCATTGACAATCCTTCAGGATCAAACATTGCCTATCACAATAAGGGAGAGTGCTCCTCAATACTTTTCCTTAAAAAAAGAAGATAAAATCAAAGCCCAATTAATAAACACCAAAAATTGTTATCTTCCAACATACTAAACCAAATGTCATTAGAAAGGAAACCACTTTTCGAATGTTGGGATCTGCCAATGCTTTGCTTGTCCATACATCTTGCAAATAAGCATGACATGACTATTATGAATCTCATTCAGAGATAACTCAACAAATTTAACCCAGAATCTACAGGTCTCTGCAGTGAAAAAACCCAACAACACAGCAAATCAAATCAAGCACGACACGAGATCCTCCTCAAAATCGGTCCTTTTTCACAAAGAAAAACACAGGCAGAACCATCATCATTCTCAATATTTCAGAAAACAAGATCTTCACTGCCACGCACAATCAAAACCACCTCTTTTCGGATCTACGAATCAGCTTATGTCCAGAACATAATAACAACAGAGGATCAAAAGAAGACAGAAAGTGTCATCATCTCACCGGTAGCGAATCCCCTGTGGGAAACAGAGATCCTGAGATGAGAAGCAGCCCTGGAAGCCCACAACAACCTCGAAGCCATTACTCGCGAAACCCAACAAAGGCTGGACCTTTACGGTGCTCACGGACGTCAAGGGACACGCCTTTATGAGTTATTTAGTGCTGTTCAAGCGCAGGGATTCAGTGGGTGGGGACGAGGGTTGGTGGGTTTGTTTTCTTTTTGTTAAATACCCCCCTAACACCACGACAATTCGGGGCTTGTTGGTATTGAAAAGGGGAGAGAGAGAGAGAGAGAGAGAGAGAGAGAGACAGAGAGAGAGAGGGTTCAAGAAAGGCGCGAGGAGGAGGAGGCCGAGGTGGAGGTGTTGGGTCAATACAGGGTTGTCGGTGTAGAAGTTGGTGGTGGCTTGTGCTAGTCATGTCATGTCACGTGGCCATTGGTGGCTACGTTTGCCAACCTATGATTGTTTTCGGAGAAAGTGGGCAGTAAAAAAGAATTTGGTCCCTTCGTGTTTTCAAGGTGATGTTGATGTGTTCATCACTCTATGCTCGAGGTGAATTTGATCTATATCAATCATAGCCATTAGTGACAATGACAAAATCCTCATATTTCATTACAATATGATCTAATCACCGTGATGATGTTGAGGATAGGAACTCAATTCCCGAAAAAAAGAAGAAGACATAAATGTTAATTTAGTCTTCCGAACTTTTGAATTGAATAGGATATAAAATCTTTTAGATTAGTCGAACCAAATACATATATACCTACTCTATTTAGTGATCCCTACTCTATCTAGTGATCGCTATCTTCAACTTAGGGATCGCCTTGCAACCGAAGCTTAACTTCAAGAGTTAATCTGCAATACAAAATCCATGTTAAGACGCTCAGGCTTAGGATCTGAAACAATCATTCGAGCTTTAAGCCATTAATTTGAAGAGACGAAGAGTACGAATTTGGGTTCAAGAAAATCCAATCCTTACTTGATTATATCCTTCCCCTATAAGGCGTTTTTCTTAGTGGGTTGTCAAGTCGAGATTGATAGGTAGTGATTTGGGTGACAATTAGCAATAAGCATGCTCTACAATGGCTTTATAATCTACATTGGTCAAGTCGATCTAAGGACCGGTGTATGCTTATTAGTTAGTGATAGCACTGTTGTCGTTGCTAATTAGTATAGGGTAAAAGATTAGTTATGAGTGAATCGGCCCCCTCCCCCAAAAGAATATTAATATCTTTATATAGAGAGTAATCTCACCTTTAGTTTTAAATTCAATTTTTTTTCAAAGCATTCGATTAAAGTTCATGCCAATTTACTTTTGGTGAATAACAATTAGGAGTTTTATTCAATGAACAAAGATGGCAATTGATTAAATAAGAATAAAAATCTCTCAAATCTAAAACACAATGAGAGCTCTCTCATCCATAAAAAAGTAAAGATCGAAATTCATAGATTTTCTTCCTCTAAATTACTGCATAAATGTTTTTGTTATTTCATCTTCATTGCATCCATAGGGTGCTTGCTTCTTCGTCGATTTTTGAGTGGATGAAGATACTAATAACTAGAACAAATGTTTCCTATGTATATATATATATATATATATATATATATATATATGCTCAATTTAGAAGTTATGAAAAGATACGCTTGTATTTAATTTGAAAGATGCAAATTAAAAATGAACTTAAATTATATTTATGTGTCTGATAAAGTATTCATTTGATACTATATTCTTCTAGATCTTACCTTATATATGTTGACAATTCTCGTCCATTATCTCCTTTTTTTTGTAACTTTTTAAAGAAATTATGATAGTGGCATTATTTACACGTCTCAAATGGCAATCTATATATTTAGATAAATATTCCATCATTAAAAAATATGGATGAAGCCAACATTAATTGAATATATTAATGGAAAAGTTCTTGCTAGAAAATAACTTTTAAAATTTGTGCAATTATAATCAAGAGTCATGAAGACTAATATACACTTTATAGGAACCTCCTCCTAAAATCCTGGACCGGGCAGCTCTAGAATTTTTCCGGTGCACCAACTGCCGGTCGCAGCTCCGTCGCCGGCCGCCGCGAGCAGCCCGCCGCGTCGCTCACCGGCGATTGAAGTCCGGCGATCGCTCCCGAACCGGCACCTTCTTGCTTTTCGCGTAAATCACTTCGCCCAATGCTGCTCTTTACAGTTTCGCAATTTCTCATACTTTCTTTACTGAATTCGACATGATATTGATCGTGAAGTCTCATTGTTATCTTTTCCTCGTCGGCTTTCTTGAACCCATTTCCTCGTACCCTTCGGTTTCGTGGGTGGTTGTCCTGTAGATGTGGACGCCGTAATGAATTTGCTGTCTGACAAGTGTTCGACAAAAGTCCCGTGAGACAATTCTTACCGGTATTATTGGTTCATAGTTGAAGGAGTTACTTTATCGCTTTCTTCGGAAAGGTTGTGTCTTTCATCACTGAAATGATCGCTGGAACGTGTCCAATTGGATGGTCATGTCGTTTGCATCTAGTGATTAGTAATTGAGAGTTTGTTGGTGTTTTGACAAGAACTTGTTGCCTCACCCACAAGCATTGAGTGTTCTTATTTTCTCTTTGTTTGTTGGTCAGTGCTGAGAAATGGCGAAAGGTCTAATATGGGCGACGGCTGAGGATCTTGCGAGGAACAGGGGACGGGTTCTCTCTCTTTATCGCCAAATCTTGCGGAGCCTGAATTCGTCGAACCTGCCTCTTACTTTAGCTGCTAGGCTATCCAAGAAGGCCGAGGCGAAAGCCATCTTCATGCTGGCTGCCGAAGAGAGATCCCTTCACAACATTGAAGACCTCATAGATGTTGCGGAGTATTCTCTCTCCCTGTTGCAAAAAGGTGAAATCCCCAAATACATACAATAGGTGAGCTACTTGTCCAGCTGCTATGACTCAGATGCTCTTTCTTATCCTCGTTTGTTTTCTCGCTTGATGCATTTAGGTCTTTTTTATGGGATGCACATTGTAGTCATCTTAAATTTTGCTCTTGCCCATCTAAATCAGTGTGACGATGATAATTTGTAGTTAGCGAAATTCCTTGCACAGGCATAAATGGGTGACTTAATATGTTCAAGGAAGTGATTATTTATGGGTATTCCAAGAAATCACTACTTGAGGAAATGTTTTGAGTGGGTGTTCGATGACTACAGACTGTTTCTATAGTTGGGTGGGGCATTCAAAATGTGAAGGGGCAGAGAAGTGAAGGAGTTCTGCCTTCCTTAGGATTTCTCACAATTTAATCAGATGAGATAATTGGAGACAACAGAAGGAAAGTATCATTGTAGGCTGATACAAAGGGAGCTTTAACCATTCTCAGAGCGTTCCAACATCTCTTTCGCAAACTATGCCAAACAAGATATGCTTGATTATTATTAGTTTTTTTGCAAGGCAGTCTTTTGCCAGTTTTTGAATTTCCTCAATGCAGTTTCAAGTGATTTCTGATGCTTTGACAGATGGGGTCTGGGTTTCACACTGCTTTGATTGCTTGTAACATGCATCTTGTGTTAGTTTATACTACTAGAATTTCACATAGATTTTCCTCTCCATAAGCAGTCAATAGGGTTGAAGCCGTGAGTAGAACTGAAAGTATATAAAACAAAAGGACGTGCTTTGCCATTTTGGTGTCCTTGATTTAAGTTCATCTAGCTATCTTTTACTTGTCCAAACACGTTTGTCTAATATCTTTCTCCTTTCTGGCAGAAAACATGCTGCAAGTAAATGGGACAAGTATCGAATGCCCGTGACGCAACTTTCTCAAGTTGTTGTCTCTGGGTGGTTAGAGGGCAATTTAGATAATAGAGAAGTTGGTTCCGCTTTCTTGAAACAGCTGGAATAGGATGGTTGTATTGACGTCTTGTTACTTGCTTTTAAACATTATTATTAGCACGAAAAGAAGATTCTTCACGATCAGGTTCCTGATGAAGCTTAAACACAGAAGCCATTCTTCTTTATCTTTGTTCGGTTCATCGCCTACATAGGTAGTCAAGGAATTTTGTTTTCTTTAACATTCGGTTGGCGAATTAAAGATGATCACACGAGAATTAAAGATGATCACACGAGACTCGGGACTGTGTGGATCAGCAAACAACAGGTTCCATTTGAGCGTGGCTAAATGATGAAACCAGCTTTGGTCAAGAAAATGATGAAGCAGGCTTGTTCGTGGTAGATTGGCCAAGTTCAAGAGAATCTGCTGATACGTAATTGATCGAAATGCTGATAGGGCCACCGACATAAAACAAATTAACTGCTGTAAACGATTCGGGGTTCATTGAACTTTCTTCTGTTAACAATTTTATTGGCGCAAATCTCTCTCCCCATATTCATAGTCGAAGAAACATAGAAGGTTGCGTAAACCTCAATACTTAGGCTGCAGCTTAGGAGGACAGACTCGGCATTATCCAACTCATGTGTCTAGGGTTTTATAAGATTACTTCCATCTCATTTTTGCAACTTCAGACGCAGCCGCTTATATAGGCGAAAAGATCTCATCGTATGTGCCCATGAAATCTAATTCCGACGATGGATTGAACAGAAAAAAGCGAGTCCAAATCCGAGCAAAGTCATGAAACCTAGTTGTTTTTTATGAATATGACCACCGCAGCTAGTGTAAACTGTAAACTCCAAGATCAGTGGATGCTAACGAAATGAAAATGACCCAAATAAGATTTCAGAAAATAGTCGACAAAGCAATCCAGCAAGTATCAAAGAAATCACCACAAGAGACTGGGAAGGGACATCGCAGCAATACTTGTTTTTTTATGGCCGAACAGCAGTACTTGATTCCTACTATATTTATTCCAGAATTACGTATTAGTGTTAAGTATCTAAAGATAACAAAGCAGCATCATTCATCAAATACCATTATCTTCTTCTCCTCTCCGCCTCGTCAAACCCTAGTAGCTGCTGCACGGTGGGGGCGGCGTGGCTGCATACTGCCGGTCAACAACCTCTATGAGCTTGCTCGCAATCGCGCTCGCATACACAGTTGAACCGTCATAGATCTGAAATTTGAACATTAGAAGGAGACAAAGATTTGTGTTACACCGGCTAAACGCGGAGGAGATCCTTCAAAAGTTAACTTTTTCCTGTCAAATTGAAAAAAAAAAAAAAAAAAAGTAGCTTTGAGAATTTGTTCGGACAAAGGAAAGCCCCACCGACCTTGGTATTGAGCAGGAAGCTGTAGTGTTCACCAATGTGGCCACCAGCAACATGGTGGAGATCCAACTGGAGCTCATCAAGAACCCTAGACACATGCAGCAAGCAATTAATCTTCTTACGCTGCACGAGCTTGATCGTGACCTCGTCGTCGATTATGCGGACATCCACCTCGGTCACCTTTGATTTCCTCTGGAGCCAAGAGCTCCTCAGAGTCCCGTTGCAGGACTGACCCGCCGGGTTGCCCAGGGGTCGGGTTATGGAGATCTCCCCATCAAAGCCTTCCTCGTCGGCCTTCTGCCTCTTGCTTCTCTCTGTCCCCCATCTTTTCTTCTCCACAAGCAGTTTCAGCTCGTTGACGGTTCTCAAGAGCTCCTTGATGTACTCAATGGCATCTCCCACAATGGATGCCCTATCACCCTTCATGTACACAAACACAAGCAATGGCACAACACAATAAATTTGCCAAAAAAGCAAGCATAAACAATTTTGCATTGGGAGGAAAACTAACTTCCATAAGCACTCTTATAGTTTAGACCTAAATAATCATGATTAACTCTCTACACAGGATACACGATAAATTAAATAGGACAAGCTAATTAAATAGGGCATAACAAGTACTAAAAATATCCCATTTAAAGAGAGGAGAAAATGATTCTGGGTACAATATGACAGCTATAAAAGGTAACAGGTACATTTGCTGTGGGCCTGGTTTGGAATGGACTGAAGATGATAGGGGAAAAAAACTGAAGAGGAGAAGAGCACGGCAAGATAGGGCCAAACCATCTTCTCCAGCAAAAGTCCAAAATCAAGAAAGAAGCATGCTCTTTTTGTCATTCCCTTCTCCCCCTTCTTTAGTAAGATTTCAGCGTTAGGGTCCACCCACAGAATCGGAAACTTGAGCTAGTGAGAGAGCTCCATTTCAGTTCCATGATCAGCCATCACTTTCCCCCATTTCGACCCACAAGTTGAACTCCCAAGTTCCACAACATTTTCAGGCATAGAATGTAAGAACGACAAAGACAGCAACAACCCAATTCGATACCGTATCTATAAATGGCAATCAAACAAAGAAGCAAAGCATTCGAATGAGCACAATACCTTGGTGGGGCTTGGGATCAGCTCCTTCAAGGCGTCGTACTTGTGATTGATCTGGGACCTCCTGTCCCTCTCAGTGGTGTAAGGCTTGGTCATCTTCCCTCTCCTCCTCTTCCCCATCTTAACCTTGCCATGGCAACCCTCCATGTCCGCCATCATTTCGCTCCCAAACTTGAAAACCCCATTATCGTTCTCCACGAACTGATGACCCCCGTCCTCATCGCAGTACATCATCGTCATCCCTAGATTGTTTCCCTCATCTCCTTCAGTCTCCCCTCTCTCAATGTCGTTGCCGCTGCCGAACAATGACGACGAGCCGGCAATGGGCAAGTTGTCGTACCCACAGACTCCCCCGCTCGGCAGAGACTGGAACAACTCCCTCATGAACGGGGGCTGCGGCTGCAGATTGCTCAGATGGACGAGCGGATCGAGGAGAAGGGGCGGCGCGGGCGAGTTAGGGCTCGCGAAGGACAGCGACGAGCTGGGGAGCAAAGAGGACGAGGAGCATCGGGCCAAGCGGAAGAGATTGAGGAGGTCCGGCGGCGCCGCCGGAGCGAAGATGTCGGAAGGGCCGTCATCGCCGAAGCTCAGAGGGGCTTGGCTCTGCAGGAATTGCAAGGGATCGGCGACTTGCTGGCCGATGATGCCATGGTGGCCGCCGTCATGATGGTGACTCAAACCCTCCGCTCCAGGAGCAGCATAGTTCCAGTCCGAGGAAGAGTGACTACCATCGTAAGGCAACACCTGATTCGTATTGCCATAGCCACCGTCGCCCGAGCCGACCCGATGAAACCCGCCGTCGTCCTCTCCGGCCGCGAACCCCATCAGCTCCTGCTGCTGCTCTTGATAATGGCCATGGAGATCGACCTCTTCTGCCGCGACGTTCTGCGGCCGAAGACGGTGGCCCGCCTGCGCAAACGCCACGCCCTCCGCCTCCACGGGTACCCCGCTCGGACCGAAGCACTGGGTCGTCTCCCCCATCATTTCCTCAGGTGGGTATTGTCCGGCTGCCATGAACAGAAGCAAGAACAGCATGTAATCAAGACTAGACCTCGCAGAGATTCGTCAGGAAGCGAGAACCGCACGTGAATGCATATGCAACATGAACAGCTCAAGCCAAAGAAGGAGGAGAAGGAGAAGAGGAGGATGAGGAAGAAGAAGAGTGGGAAGTGATGTTGGACATGGAGCTACACGTTAGCTATGGCGATGGCGAGGGAGAGCTTACTGTGATCGTCCGAACTCTTCTTGATCAGCTCCGAGAGAGAGAGAGAGAGAGAGAGAGAGAGAGAGAGAGAGAGAGAGAGAGAGAGAGAGAGAGAGAGAGAGGGGGGAGTTGCAGTGGGAGGTTAGGAGGGACAAAAGCTGCGCAGGAAGATATGTTGTTGTAAGAAAAGGAAATGATGGAGAAAAGACAGAGAGAGAAAAATAGAAAAAATTCAAAAATTCATTTTATCATTGATATTTCCGTATATTAACGCTGATATTTTTAAAATAGTTATACGAGAAATTTCGCATATTTTTTTATTGGGTATTGAGTATTGATTTAATATCTTGAGAAAGCTCGTTATCACCTTGTTCTTTTCATTTCAATTTAGTAGACTGATTTCGACATATTTAAAGATTATTCTCATTTATTTTTATTTTTGGGTTCTCGAGAAGAAGAAAATATTTATTTATTTTTTTTGCCCATTTTTCTTGAATGAGATTGCAATTGGGGGAGAGGAGGTTGGTTGTTACTGAGATTCCCGTCATGTGGGCCCCGCTCATAATCTCCGTATTTGGATCGAATTCCTTCCCTCTCTTGCACTTTTATTTTTTCTCTGTCAAGAGAATCATTGAGGGGTAAAAAAGTTTAGGAAAATCTTCTAGATTTTGTTACTCACCTTGCTGAGAAAATGCAAGAGCATACAAAATGTTCATAGAGACTGGTATCTAGGATTACATATATATATATAAGTCGAATATTATTTATTAATAATTTACGTCGAGCGCGATAAGTAATTATATGATTTTATAAGATTTTGGGTCGAGTCTCTGTGATTACTTTGTATGCTCGACATCATTTGTTAGGCATTAGGTGCGACTGTTTCCTTAGAAGGGTTTAAGCGATCGATGGGGATTTGTAATTGAAGTCTTAATAGTGTACCCGACTCTGTGCTTAAATTGATAAAATCGCGAGAAATCCTCTTTTCACATCTCTAAGTTCTCATTAATAAAGGAACTCCTTTCACTGTATTGGACAGAATCAATCGCAAGGGTCGCATTCGCCTACTTCCCACGACCACTCGACTAGTCTTTTGAAACTGGCGTGGCGATGAGCTCTACACGCTCTATCTTTGTTCCTCTGTGTCTCGTCAGATTGATTAACTTTACCTTCGCCTATTCGGTTCATCGCCTACATAGGTAGTCAAGGAATTTTGTTTTCGTTAACATTCAGTTGGCGAATTAAAGATGATCACACGAGACTCGGGATTGTGTGGATCAGCAAACAACACGTTCCATTCGAGCCTGGCTAAAGGATGAAACCAGCTTTGGTCAAGAAAATGATGAAGCAGGCTTGTTCGTGGTAGATTGGCCGAGTTCAAGAGAATCTGCTGATACGTAATTGATCGAAATGCTGATAGGGCCACCGACATAAAACAAATTAACAACTGTAAACGATTTGGGGGTTCATTAAACTTTCTTCTGTTAACAATTTTATTGGCGCAAATCTCTCTCCCCATATTCATAGTCGAAGAAACATAGAAGGTTGCGTAAACCTCAATACTTAGGCTGCAGCTTAGGAGGACAGACTCGGCATTATCCAACTCATGTGTCTAGGGTTTTATAAGATTACTTCCATCTCATTTTTGCAACTTCAGACGCAGCCGCCTATATAGGCGAAAAGATCTCATCGTATGTGCCCATGAAATCTAATTTCGACGATGGATTGAACAGAAAAAAGCGAGTCCAAATCCGAGCAAAGTCATGAAACCTAGCTGTTTTTTATGAATATGACCACCGCAGCTAGTGTAAACTGTAAACTCCAAGATCAGTGGATGCTAACGAAATGAAAATGACCCAAATAAGATTTCAGAAAATAGTCGACAAAGCAATCCAGCAAGTATCTAATAAGAAATCACCACAAGAGACAGGGAAGGGACATCGCAGCAATGCTTGTATTTTTATGGCCGAACAGCAGTACTTGATTCCTACTATATTTATTCCAGAATTACGTATTAGTGTTAAGTATCTAAAGATAACAAAGCAGCATCATTCATCAAATACCATTATCTCCTTCTCCTCTCCGCCTCGTCAAACCCTAGTAGCTGCTGCACGGTGGCGGCGGCGTGGCTGCATACTGCCGGTCAACAACCTCTATGAGCTTGCTCGCAATCGCGCTCGCATACACAGTTGAACCTTCATAGATCTGAAATTTGAACATTAGAAGGGGACAAAGATTTGTGTTACACCGGCTAAACGTGGAGGAGATCCTTCCAAAGTTAACTTTTTCTTGTCAAATTGAAAAAAAAAAAAAAGTAGCTTTGAGAATTTGTTCGGACAAAGGAAATCCCCACCGACCTTGGTATTGAGCAGGAAGCTGTAGTGTTCACCAATGTGGCCACCAGCAACATGATGGAGATCCAACTGGAGCTCATCAAGAACCCTAGACACATGCAGCAGGCAATTAATCTTCTTACGCTGCACGAGCTTGATCGTGACCTCGTCGTCGATTATGCGGACATCCACCTCGGTCACCTTCGACTTCCTCTGGAGCCAAGAGCTCCTCAGAGTCCCGTTGCAGGACTGATCCGCCGGGTTGCCCAGGGGTCGGGTTATGGAGATCTCCCCATCAAAGCCTTCCTCATCGGCCTTCTGCCTCTTGCTTCTCTCTGTACCCCATCTTTTCTTCTCCACAAGCAGTTTCAGCTCGTTGACAGTTCTCAAGAGCTCCTTGATGTACTCAATGGCATCTCCCACAATGGATGCCCTATCACCCTTCATGTACACAAACACAAGCAATGGCACAACACAATAAATTTGCCAAAAAAGCAAGCATAAACAATTTTGCATTGGGAGGAAAACTAACTTCCATAAGCACTCTTATAGTTTAGACCTAAATAATCATGATTAACACTCTACACAGGATACACGATAAATTAAATAGGACAAGCTAACTAAATAGGGCATAACAAGTACTAAAAATATCCCATTTAAAGAGAGGAGAGAATGATTCTGGGTACAATATGACAGCTATAAAAGGTAACAGGTACATTTGCTGTGGGCCTGGTTTGGAATGGACTGAAGATGATAGGGGAAAAAAACTGAAGAGGAGAAGAGCACGGCAAGATAGGGCCAAACCATCTTCTCCAGCAAAAGTCCAAAATCAAGAAAGAAGCATGCTCTTTTTGTCATTCCCTTCTCCCCCTTCTTTAGTAAGATTTCAGCGTTAGGGTCCACCCACAGAACCGGAAACTTGAGCTAGTGAGAGAGCTCCATTTCAGTTCCATGATCAGCCATCACTTTCCCCCATTTCGACCCACAAGTTGAACTCCCAAGTTCCACAACATTTTCAGGCATAGAATGTAAGAACGACAAAGACAGCAACAACCGAATTCGATACCGTATCTATAAATGGCAATCAAACAAAGAAGCAAAGCATTCGAATGAGCACAATACCTTGGTGGGGCTTGGGATCAGCTCCTTCAAGGCGTCGTACTTGTGATTGATCTGGGACCTCCTGTCCCTCTCAGTGGTGTAAGGCTTGGTCACCTTCCCTCTCCTCCTCTTCCCCATCTTAACCTTGCCATGGCAACCCTCCATGTCCGCCATCATTTCGCTCCCAAACTTGAAAACCCCATTATCGTTCTCCACGAACTGATGACCCCCGTCCTCATCGCAGTACATCATCGTCATCCCTAGATTGTTTCCCTCATCTCCTTCAGTCTCCCCTCTCTCAATGTCGTTGCCGCTGCCGAACAATGACGACGAGCCGGCAATGGGCAAGTTGTCGTACCCACAGACTCCCCCGCTCGGCAGAGACTGGAACAACTCCCTCATGAACGGGGGCTGCGGCTGCAGATTGGTCAGATGGACGAGCGGATCGAGGAGAAGGGGCGGCGCGGGCGAGTTAGGGCTCGCGAAGGACAGCGACGAGCTGGGGAGCAAAGAGGACGAGGAGCATCGGGCCAAGCGGAAGAGATTGAGGAGGTCCGGCGGCGCCGCCGGAGCGAAGATGTCGGAAGCGCCGTCATCGCCGAAGCTCAGAGGGGCTTGGCTCTGCAGGAATTGCAAGGGATCGGCGACTTGCTGGCCGATGATGCCATGGTGGCCGCCGTCATGATGGTGACTCAAACCCTCCGCTCCAGGAGCAGCGTAGTTCCAGTCCGAGGAAGAGTGACTACCATCGTAAGGCAACACCTGATTCGTATTGCCATAGCCACCGTCGCCCGAGCCGACCCGATGAAACCCGCCGTCGTCCTCTCCGGCCGCGAACCCCATCAGCTCCTGCTGCTGCTGTTGATAATGACCATGGAGATCGACATCTTCCGCCGCGACGTTCTGCGGCCGAAGACGGTGGCCCGCCTGCGGAAACGCCACGCCCTCCGCCTCCACGGGTACCCCGTTCGGATCGAAGCACTGGGTCGTCTCCCCCATCATTTCCTCAGGTGGGTATTGTCCGGCTGCCATGAACAGAAGCAAGAACAGCATGTAATCAAGACTAGACCTCGCAGAGACTCGTCAGGAAGCGAGAACCGCACGTGAATGCATATGCAACATGAACAGCTCAAGCCAAAGAAGGAGGAGAAGGAGAAGAGGAGGAGGATGAGGAGGAAGAAGAGTGGGAAGTGATGTTGGACATGGAGCTACACGTTAGCTATGGCGATGGCGAGGGAGAGCTTACTGTGATCGTCCGAACTCTTCTTGATCAGCTCCGAGAGAGAGAGAGAGAGAGATGGGGGGGGAGTTGCAGTGGGAGGTTAGGAGGGACAAAAGCTGCGCAGGAAGATATGTGTTGTAAGAAAAGGAAATGATGGAGAAAAGACAGAGAGAGAAAAATAGGAAAAATTCAAAAATTCAACGCTGATATTTTTAAAATAGTTATACGAGAAATTTCGCATATTTTTTTATTGGGTATTGAGTCTTGATTTAATATCTTGAGAAAGCTCGTTATCACCTTGTTCTTTTCCTTTCAATTTAGTAGACTGATCTCGACATATTTAAAGATTATTTTCATTTATTTTTATTTTGGGTTCTCGAGAAGAAGAAAATATTTTTTTTTTTGCCC